TTACCCACCATCCATTTAAACTCTTCTTCAACTTTCCATCTATTGAATCAGTTTATTTGACAATATTTCCTTTCACTTAAAAAGTCTGTCTACATGCGAACACAGTGCATTTGGAGGAATCCTCCTTGGAAAAATCGTGATTCTATGTTACCATAATTCACTGGCTTGGGACCCATCGTTCACGATAAGAACGAAAAGAACAAAAATTGCATTTGTTTGGTAAAAAATTCGAAAAACCGAAAGGGCTGCTACGCGTTCAAAGTACCGCCGGACATCTGTCACAAATGCTGGCGACGGGGATGCTTCCACTTGGTTCTTGGAGTGCCTTCACTAGAAACTCTTTCTGGCCTTTTGACTATTGCATTCACATCTCACACTTCTACTGCATCCTATTCTATCGATCGATTTGTCTCTACTCTTCAAAATCGCGCGCTTCAACCCGATTCCGACGGGCTGCCTTTGGCTAAACGCCACTTACCTTCGATTATCCATAGAGTGTGCTTTTTGTAAGTTTGATTCCGTAAAAAATTGTATTTTGCCCATACTTGTCACAGCTGACATACGCATCTTGGGAAAGAATGCAAAATTTTTCCGGCAAGGATTTCTTCAATATCACACAGTAAGGTCCTAAGTAGTGATACCGTCTTCAGTTTTTTAAATTAGCTTGTTTTTTTGACTCTTGGCTATAGTCAGAGTACACCCTTGGCAAGTATTGTCACATTTACTTCTCGCATATTATTTCATCTCGCCTCGATGTGACATTGAGTGGAGCAAAATTCAAACCCGCTTTTGAGCGATACAGAGATGGTGCAAAAGCCGCAATAGGATTCCCGTCCAAAAGATCCGTAACAGGACAACGAAGCTGTCCCGGGATTCGATTGCATAGATATCAACTGGAGGTACGCAAAATCAATTAGCGTATGTACTGTTTAACGCTAACACGCCTACACCGCTAAGACACTCTCGCTGGTAAAATAGAGATACTGGAGACTAGAGAGACTGGGACACGAGACTACGCGAATTGGGACGTGTCGGGCTAATAGCGCGCCAGTGGGACTGCGGGAAGGCTATGCTAGATCACTGAATCATATCTATGCGCACTGCACACTTAGGGAGTCTTATCGCTTAGCGGGTAGTCGTTCGAATAAAACTTTCTGGCAAATGCTGCTAGAGGGAATAGGAGTGGGGGGGGGAGTGCGAATAATGAGACGAACCTCTTGTCTTGGGTCGCCTCGGATTCGCTCTGAATTGCGCGGCGTGAGAGCAGTACTCCATTTTTTATTCAGTTGTAAGTTTGTTTTAAAGTATGGCCACTCTTTCGTTGCGTGCCTTTTGGGGGAAGCAGAAGTCTATTGCATTTGCAGATTGCGAAGGTAGCAAAGCTACCAAAATGTACTTCCTTCTCTACCTAGACTGCGACACAGTCTCAACCGCCGCGTTCGCAATCTTTCCAAAAATTTTCGACCACTCCCCCATGGGGTTTCGACACAGCCCCCTTCTCTAAGTCGGTCTCGGTGCGAAAGCGAGCACAACTAGCTGCCCTGAAAGGGTTCTTTGTACAACCCTCGAAAACCAACATGATTTATCGACTGCATAAACTTCGAATAAATACTACTATCACTCGAGCTGCTCACTATCAGGATTTAGCCTAAAACTATAATATTATGTCTCGGATGTTAGGATGGTTTAGCGGTTGTACACCCTCTTACGGTGACATCAAAGTAGAAATACCATTACTCATCAGATTGCCACGAATACCGACCATTTTAAAAGCTTGCGCAAACTAGCGGTACCGACTATTTTAAAAGCTTGCGCAAATTAGCGGTGTATGCGACGACATCGCAAAATGAAATGGAATGCACTTCTCATCGCGCATCTAGGTAACAACTTCAGTGACTCCTTCGACCTCGAGCTGATTGCTCTTATGAGCCCCCATCAGCGGTTGTCACTTTTGTCACCAATCAAATATAACCCTTCAAAAGACAGCATCCTCTCTGCCGCTGAGCTAGAGATTCGGTGACCTTTGCGCTTTAGTTGAACCTATCGATTGATATTAGTTTCTGTCCCTTCCCGTCCCACCCTCCATGTATTAGAGCCAATGCCTCATTGCTGCTGGGTCGTATAAATTCCGCGACCCTTACCTCCTAACGCCTCTGATCAGCCTTTATCGGGTGTTATCAGTTTCCGCCAACCGTCAGATATTTTCCCCTCCCACCCCCTACATATATGTGGAGCCAACGTTTGAGTCCTGCTGGGACACACGCTATGAATTTCGTGACATTTGCATTCTAAAACCTCTTATCAGCCCTTATCAGTCGTTATCACTTTCTGCCCCCACCAAATATCCCGTCCCACCCCCTATATCATATCAAAAAATCAGCTCCTAACGACTGCTGCGACGCGCGCTATGAATTTCGTGACAAACGGAAGGACATACACAGACGCACGGCCAGACACACGTAGCGAATTATATAAAACCAGTTTAGCGCCGCACGCTACCGCGCGCATGAAACGGAAGGCTTGATGAAACAGGACAGCCGATAAAGCGTTAGATTCACCGCTAAACATTGAGTTGCTTCGTAAAATGCGTTAGCTGACCGTTCCATAGGCTGCTCATCTTTGCAGAAGCTCACCGTTTGATACGCGCAGTGGAGTGCGGAGCTAAAGTGGTGTCTGTAAACAACCACCATGCATCGAATGTCAGTGTAATTTAGCGGTCGGATTGTGTGTGATGTTAAAATAAAAACATCCAGCACTCGTTATCGTATTTTGAACATCCACCATACATTTTTAGGAACTCTGGGGAGCATAGCGGTCTAGTGGTATTTCGGGCTGATGATAACAACGCAAATGAAAGAATATTGAAATGAAATGCTTTATCTAAAGTCTGGTTTTGAGTGACCTCTATATTCTTGCGCATATCGTTATTATCGGCCCTTATCAGCCGTTAATCGCTTTCTTTCCCCACCATATATGTTCCCGTCCCACCCCTAAAACACTTCTTGGAACCAACGCCTCAGAGTCCCCCACCAAAGATGTCTCCGTTCTACCCTCTACATCACTTCTTGGAACCAACGCCTCACTGATGCTGGGACGCGCGCTATGGATATCGTGGAATTGGCGTTTTGGCGCCTCTTATCGGATCTTATCAGTCGTTATCACTTTGGTCCCCCACCAAATATGTTCCCGTCCCACCCCCTACAACATCAAAATACAGCGCTCCACTGTTGCAGCGAAGCGCGCTATGAATTTCGTGACACAGACGTACACACATACACATACACACGCACAGACATACTTAGCGAATTATATATGGTAGGATAGAGATTATCCACCATTATGATTGAATGTACACACGTAAGCAGAATATCTTGATCTCTCGAGCGAATTCCACTGAATCTCCTTTTTCTGAATTTCAGTGCGATGACCTCTGAAAAAACGAAGTTTGTGCCACATACACTAAGTCAGCTCCGGAACGGTGACGGTCAGTTTTGAACGATAATTCACGCATGTTCCACTTGAACTCACTCTAATTCTAAGCATGTTCCATACTTGCGCTTCACACGATTCCTAGCATTTTCAAAATAATCCAAGTCGACTTTATCGCGTCGCGCATTCTTACACTGTATCTCCTGAGGGCAGTTTCAGAGTATGCGAACCCAGTAAATCGCGGGGTACGAGCATTTCCCAGCAGATGAGAGAGTTCGTAAGTGTCAGGGTCTCCTTCATTCACACGTGGACCCTCGCCACTTTCCAAGATCGCGGCGGCGAGAGTCGCGAGTGCGTAAGAGTCAGCGTGCGAATCAGAAAATTTGACTACTTCTTCACACTCTCCAATCGTTGGTGCGTTTTCCGCAAAGCATAACACCGGCCTCATGCTTGTTTACTGATTGACGTGCAGTCTTACAACGAAATACTATCTGTTTCTGGAAACCGATCACAAGCTAGCGTGGTACATATAGTATACTGTTGTAAATGGAAGAACATGGAAGGAATGGTAGGAGCGGAACAGTTTTCACCATTATTAGTATTCAGCGTTTATCAACTTTGACAATTTCAAGGGTCAAAATTAGCTTTAAAAGCTTGATTATGATTAGAATGCAGCTAGGCATTTATAACATCGTACATAATTTCTGAAAAAGAAGTCATACGAATTCAAATGATTCCATGGTGTTCCACTATGTGTTCAAATGCTAGCAGTTTTTATGACCTAGGCTGTAAGGAGACTACTCTACTATGATCTACGTCAGCAAAGTTGTTATATCATTTGTTCATGGTCGCCTAGTTTAGTGCTTGCCCTTTTGAGCCCTTATTTGTTTGACTCATTCTGTAAGCAAAAAAATCGTCTGCTGGGCGATCAGCTATGAAAAATACAATTATGCAGCTTGCATCGTCCAGTATTCATCATATATTATATATTAGAGGCGGATTTCCATAGGACCAGTTCTTCTCCTTCGCTCCTGTCTTCGCTATATAATGAAGAATATCTTCACATCAAGAAGAACCGCCTTTCAACTGAATAAGGCATAAGCTGGAACTTACCTGTGTGCTGCTGTCCACTTTCTCAAGCTGTGTCATGCCTTTCGTACAGAGCCTTTTTGAAGAAATCTAACAGTGGATTGGAGTGCAAATTCGCACTGGAGTTTATTTGACGTCTCAAATGATCTAGACGGTAATAATCAGAATTCAACGATAGAACAAAATGACAATAATAACAAGTCGTGCCCAGCCTCTCCAGCTGGTCTTCGATTGATTAGCGAATGCAGTGAATGCTAGAAGTACCCGTGCGCTACCAATGGTCAACTAATCAGACCTTGTATCTTTGGCATGCTTTAGAACCGAATGATCGACCAGTATTTTAGTACCAAAAGACCGACCAGTTCACATTTTTACGGAAGGAATATATGACTTGTTCCACTACGGTCACGTCCGACAACTAAAGCAGGTGAAAGAAGCGTTTCCTGATGTCATAGTTACTGCTGGAGGTGAGTCGCGCCCCTTCTGATGGTGTCTAAAAAAGGTGCACAGAAATTTGATATTATAGTATGCAGCAATGAATTGGTATGTAAGTACAAGGGTGGCCCCTTGGTGATGACATTCGAGGAACGCTTCACTTCTGTGGCAGAATGTAAATATGTGGATAGAGTCATTAATCACGGGATGTTTCTATCCTACAGTTGAGCTCCTCGATAATTTACAGGTAGGCCTTTGTCTTTGCCTTTCTTTTCGGTAGGTGTTCCCTCTGCGAGGTAAACACCTTGATGAGTTGATGCGTATGTCCAAATTGGTATGTCTCAGAATGGAGAAGGATATTATCACGATCATAACATTGGATTACTCGGATACTTATTTATTTATTTATATAACTATTGTACAGGGATTAAAGAATAATTGGCTACAGAATGGTTACAATTACAATAGAGAATAATAGAAAAGAGCACAGATTATGTAGAATAAATAGATTATAGAGATATATGACACAGTATCATGACAACTATGAGATGAAGGGGGGGGGGAATTGGGGGGAGGGGTCCGTGGTTGGCTAGGAGGAGGAAGGGCAGTGCCCGGCCATACACTGCAAGCCCCTGGGCGGGACAGGGCTCCGGATACCATCTTAGTAGGTCCGCCAACCTCCCCTTAGGAACCCAAGGCCACCTCTGCGGTAGTGGAGGTAGTAGGCAGAACAGTTACAGACTGAGAAGAAAAAAAGGGGGTAGGGGAAATTTAAATGAAGAGCGTGACTTTCTGAATAATATAGTGGTTAAAAAATGTTTAAAAGATAAAAGATACATTGAAGGAAGCTGCATATAATACTAAAATAAAGAAGGAAAAAAGAAGACATTACAAGATATTGTAGGATAGCAGTGCAATACAATAAAGTTAAATATTACAAAAATCGTACAGGGACTGGGCAGGACAGTGAGAGAGAAGAGAGGAAATCTTTAGAGATTGGGACGGAAAGGAGCGACGGAGGTAGGTGCTGAAATATTACGCATCAGTATTCTGGTTTATCAATGTAAATAACCTGCTGAAAAGAAAATCGTAAACAGTTTTCCCGACTAGAGAGACTACCTGATGGAGGCAGGGGGTAAGTATGTTGGTGGCGAAAAGGTGAGTGAAGCAGTAAACGGTTATGGAATAGCGGCACTCAGCGGAATATGGAATTGGAGTTTGGACGAAAAGCTCAAATGTAAAAACGCAGTGACCGATACCCTGCTCCATCTGGATACATCAACACTATTTGGGGCTCAGTTCCCGAAGCTCTCGGCTTCCCCGACAACCCACTCTAACCCTCGCAGGCGACTCAATACATCATGGAGTGGTTGAATGCTAAATGAATGGAATGGAAGGCTTGGCCCGGACGATGCGCGACCCAAAATTCGTTTAGCTACTGTGCGTGTGGTAAGCACCGCCACCTGTCACCAAACCAATTCGGCCGTACCGTCGCATAGAGCAAAAAAAATGCTTTTGAATGACGTATGCCTGATGTAAAAGATCGATCGTTGTAGACAAATCAGACAATTTCAGACAAAAATCATAGAAATGACCTTTGAATCTAAAACGAAACACGAACTCCGCGTTATCAGTCGATGGTCGGAGGTAGATAGTGGTTGGACGAGCGTAACCCTATGGAAGATACGATACGATTAGATAAGAACGGCCGCTTGAATTAAAGGAAGTGGTCACGATAATTCTCATAGGGACGATAAGGAAAGCTGTGTACTGGAGTGGATAGGGGTCCTGCCCAATGTTAGAACACGTGAAGTTTCAGTGGCGCCTTATCAACGGAGTGATAAGGCGCCGAAATCCACTTCCGTTCAGCAAAAACCAAGACTTATCGATGTGGAAAGGGGTGCGATAAGAGCGTGCTAGATATGATACCGTTATCGTTATCGTCCCGTTTTCATTCTGGAGTGCACCTCTTATCAAGCAGCCGCACCTTCTTATCTCATCATCGCATCTTTAAAGGAAGCGATCACGCTGGCTTCCACGCTGGATTTGCTACCCTCGCGTTATCAATCGATAAGGTGTGAGGCAGTAATTGTTGGACGAGTGTAAGCCCATGGAAGATATGATACGATGAGATAAGAAGGTGCGGCTGCTTGATAAGAGGTGCACTCCAGAATGAAAACGGGACGATAACGATAACGGTATCATATCTAGCACGCTGCTATCTGCCCCTTTCCACGTCTGATAAGGAGGTGCAACGCCGAAGTGGGTTTCGGCGCCTTATCACGCCGTTGATAAGGCGCCACTGCCCCTGAAGCGTCACCTGTCGTCCCATTGGGTAGGACCCCTACCCATCCACTATGTCACTTTCCCTATCGTCCCCATAAGAATTTTCGTGACCACTTCCTTTGAACATAATAGTGGCGGAATGTTTAGATAGGGTCGTATGTAGTTAAATGTGTATATAATTACTCATAGGGGAAGCAGAGCAGAATTCGTCCACGACAATGCCGTGTGATGGACGAAATACTTCAACCCAGGCGAAATACGAAACACCCTTCTCGCTCGAACTGCAGCGTCAGAACAACGTTGGATTTAGTTGCTGTTTTGACTAGTTGTGGTCGACCAGACCTCCCATTTATTAGGTTCGCAATAAAGGTGGAAGCGAAACACTCCCTTTTGTACAGCAAAACTTTTCTTTCGAAATTAAGGTGAGCAAATGTACACTAATTATAAAAGATTAATCGTAGTTTGAGAAATTTGACTAGGATTAGGACTATGTAATAAGAAAGAAAGCAGAGCTCAAAAGAGAGCAATAATGTAGCTTAATTATTTTCATGCCGATCTGATTGCCCATGATGGCGCTCCTTATGCGGGAATAGATGGCGAAGACTGCTTCAAACCATTCAAAGAGCTCGACCGCTTTCTCCCTACTCAGCGGTAAGTCTGAAACTAGAAGGGTCAAACTTCGTGCCCACCTGTATTTATAGCAACCATCTTTGTGAGTGTACTATTCTTAAGTGAACCCTTGGTATGATGGGGGTACACGCTGCTGCAATTGATCGTGATGCTATCAAAAAGAAAACAAATCTAAACCCATACATATGCTGAGGTTTCCAAGCAATTATTAGAACAAAATAGGTTGGGTGAGTTGTTGGATAGGTGGGGGCAGCATGCTGCTATAGTTATTTGGGCTGCTGTAAAAGGGAACCATCAGAAGGTGCTATATTGGCCTGGAACCATCAGAAGGTATCAATCAGAATGTATGATTCTAGGCCGCCAACAGAGCTAACCAGGAAGGTCTTTCAGGGCGTGACAAGCTTTTTGAAAACGGTCTTTTGCATGATATAGGGGCACATGCGGGAACCACAGAACCATGGTTAATTTTTCCTGAACGGCCCTCTGAATACCAGAAAAGGGGTCCCTAGTTCGATTCCTCGTGGTGACAAATTTTTGCATTTCGAGTTGACAAAATTCGCGCAAAATGGAGTTAGCATGAATAATTAGTACCATATTCATGATTAGGACCGTCAGTAACCCTTACAAATAGACTTTGATTAAAAAACTGGTGAAAAAGGTGTGACACCACAGTGGGGCTGCTTGGTGTCACACCTCTTACACCAATTTTTAAGTCAAAGTCTTTTTGTAGGGTTACTGATCATGAATATGGTACTAATTATTCATGCTAACTCCATTTTGCGCGAATTTTGGAACGTCAACTCGAAATGCAAAAATTTGTCACCACGAGGAATCGAACTAGGGACCT